ATGTTCATTACAGACACGAGGGTGACAGCAGACAGTGCAGAGATCAGCATCCACCTTGTCCTGCACTGCACACTAGATAACAGGCCAAAGACGAAGCATGCTCCAATCTACACCCATAATGCAACATCCTCATCTTCCGTCACTGAACTGCTCCATTTTTCAACATGCTTGAAAAATACATCATACATCAACATGCTCTGCTTTTACAACAGCAAAATGCTTTGAGCCACTGAAGTCACGCTGCCTATGATGAGAGACAGATGTATTGATAAAGCCAAAGTTTGAGACATGCATGGACAGGCAGAAGCTGAGCGCCTAGAGCTTCAGATAACAGACAGCAACTTTCACTCATGAGTTCTGGACCAGCCAGCGTTACAAACTTTCTGAATCCCTATGGAGACCGTTCATGTCTGCTCCTCTCCTCTCTTCAGTTTGCTGGAGGAAAAGCACCAGACTCACTTCTGAATCCTCTGCCACAGACTAGAAACTAATCCAAACCTCTGGCTAATAACAACACACTGAGAAATAGTTGCAATTCAACACTGTGATCCACCTTTGGGTAAGAACCGAGCTGAGACACAATGTGTCAGGAACAAACAAAGCTGACAGACATATCAGCTGTGGACCAATGTATGGACGGGTGGAACTGGCATGAGTGGCATTTACTTTCCTTGCCGCTATTCTTTGTCAAACTGAATTTAAGGATATTATTTCATTAAATCTGTACTGACCTGTATTGTTATAAGAGAGACATGTGTGTGACATGGGTCGAGCAGGAACACACCTCATCTGAGCAGAAAAAAAAAACACTCACACTGTTCACTGCTTTGATAAATCCAATTACCGCCTATCTAGAGCTTGACTCAAACATCTGATAACTTTCTTAATCAAGTCTGTGTTTGTTGGTCTTTCCTCTGCTTCATTGCTCCTTTATCTTCCTCTCTAGCTCCCCTCTCACAACGCTGATTAGCAGGAAAAGTAGACTTAACAGAGGGACACTGGCTTCTCAAGAGCTGACAGGAAAAACCCTCTGAGGTTTGTCCAACAAGGAAGACTTTAATGGGGCATCCTGGTGAGGCACAGGCTCATGGTTGCAACATTATCCTCCTGTGTACAACAATGCACTTACAGATACGTGGGTTTGTATGGAGTCCAGCTGCCAAAGTTTCCTGTCATGTCACATGCTTACTGTGTACTGTGTGTGGGAAAGGAGAAGAGGGGAAACTTCACTTTCAGTCCATCAACTATACATTATGTAATTCTTCAAAAAGGAGTGGATTCTTCACAGCTATCATCATAAAAATGTAGAAAGGTATTTTCAATTTCCAACTGATGCCAGGGGACTGAAAGTATGAATGGTTTCAAGAGAAACCGTGAGCCTTTGTTGCAAAGATTTAAAGCATGTCAATGAATTTATAAATTATCCATATTTCTAGAGTTTTGCAGAGATTATCATGTGAAAGAATTTCATATTTTTACACTGCAAGTCAGTGGAACTAGTAAACCTCAGAGATGCTCCTGAACACTCGCTGCATCACTGTGAACATTAATTAAAGCAAGACAAACTTTTCAACTCCAACTAATGCATCTCGAGATTCATGACCAGATATGAAGATATGAGATATGAGGAACACTTTCCAGTCCTTATTCTATTGCCTTACCAAAAAAGATTACAAAGGAATTTGTCAGAAATGGCAACGTTCATTTTTGCACAGGAACAGATGATAGCTTACAGGCACTGATACTGTGCTCAAGAAGTGTCTCTGAACTGGCATACAGACTCCAACAAGAGGGACATTCTCCCAAATGGGATACTTTTGAACAGATAATGCTATTTGGAGAGCGCTTTGATCTTAAGAGCCACAGTATCATGGGTGTGTGTGTGTGTGACAGAACTAATTCCTCTGGCAGGGACACTGTCCTTCAGAGTATTCACAACTGGGAATTTGAATTAGCTACCATAATAGTGAGAGTCCAGCTCACGCTGGCAAGCTCCGAGCTGCTTCTGAATTCACCACAGTGCTTGTGAACAGAGATGACTTGTCTGATTTTCTTTGCCCCACTAAACACTAGGTAAGTCAATGTTATCTCAAGTATGGCTAATGAATGAATGAACATGCAAACTTGTGATCACACTTTGAACATTACTCCCAAAGGGGAGTATTTGTCCATATTTTCAAACCTTTCAATGTTGTAACATAATTAGATTCACATCCTTTCTAATTCTCCTATCCTTTGCCAAGGGAATAAACGAGATGAAAAGGAACAACAGGGAACCACTGTGGAGCCCTTTACAGCATTATTAGGAGTTGATGGTGAGGGCACGCACACTGAAAGTGACAGTGCTACTAAAAATGTTTATAATAACAACTATCCCAGCTTCTCAAATATGGAGATTTGCCGTTTTTCTCTTTTTTATAACATTGTATTTTCGATATTTTTCTCATTTGATTCTGGGACCATTTTTTGACATTTTATTGACTGAAGCATTAACTGGACAAAATTAGCTGCGAAAAAAAGTTAATTGCAGGCCTAAAAACGCACCAGTGTATCTACTAACAAATTCAAGATTTTGCATTTCGGATGTATTTAAAAAGATGCAGAGAAGCAGCTTGGAGGTGGAGTAAAACCTTTGGTTTTGCATTAGTTTCATAGAGCCAAGATCCAGGAAATTTAGTCCACCTATGTTAAGCCTTGGGTGCTTTTGGATAGTTCACTGAAGTACAGCTACAAAGTTAGTTGCATGACAGCAGAGAGAAATTATTAAATGCCTTGTGTCTTTCAAAGCGGAGAAAGATGAGATGGGAAACAACGCCTTGCCTATACAGCAACACCTTTGTTTAAACACAGTAAATCTCTCTCTGTGTAAAAACCCCAGCCAGGTGCAGCCGATCATACAGACTCCATATTAACTCTGCCCACAACCCAACTCCAGGGAAAGTTGCTTATCATGGAGTGTCACTTTGACCCTCTTAACAACCACAAATACACACACACACACACACACACACACACACACACTTATCAGCCTAATGGAAAAGTAAAAGGGCTGCTCTGGTTGACTGGAGCAAAGCAAACACAGAGAGACAGATAGGACAAAATAAAAGACAGGTGGAATACACACAGGACCTTCACAAAAGCAAGCAAACACACACACACCCGAAAATAAGGAGGTTATAGAGGCAGTGTACTGTGCACACAACCACCCACGCAGAACACTTCATACAGACACACAGCAGGATACACTGGCCTACATTAGCTCAGGCAAGACACAGACCGAGTTAACACAAGCTGGATGCTCCCCCAACACAAAATAATGACTCTCTCTCTCTCCCTCTCACTCACTCACACAGAATATAGATATGTGTACACCAGCAACATTTCACACATGACATGCTATCACATGCACGGGCCTGGTATATTATGCATGGAATCCATGCCTCCACATACACCAAGCCAATCACATTGGCTATTTTCATTATTACTACTATTATACTACTACTGATGTTTCCAGAGTCCTGTCACGTGACCCTAAAGAGCTACCAGTTGAAGAAGTTCCTGTAAACCAACTACATGATGTAAACTGATGAATATTGTGTTGTCAAGGCAACAACTCACACTTATTGTCCAGTTCATTAGGTACACTCAGCTGAAACTAACGCGGTCCACCACAACAGTCCTGTCCTCCCGTCACGAAGGTTATGATGTTCAGTTGTTGCTGAAACTGTTTGAGAGAAGTGTTGATTCAACTGTATGATCATTTTGAAGGCTGCAGGTTGTGATGCTGTTGAATTGTATTGTGTTATACTGACAGATGCTACAAACAGGGATGCAATTTACAATTATTTTGGTTATTGATTAATCTGTCAGGTCATTTCTTGATTAATCTTTTTGTCTATAATTTAAAAAAAAAAAAAAAATCAGAAAGCAATGAAAAATTTTCATGGCTGTTTGTTGAACCTAAAGATATTCAAATTACTACACTTTACAAAAAGGAAAAGCACATTTGAGAAGTTTGAAGCATCAAATGATTGGCATTGCTGCTTGAGAAATAACTTAACTGGTTTCTGTCAATCGACTAATGATTCATTGCTTCAACTCTAGTTTTTAATATCTAGTATCTAGTCTTACTGATATAAATGGGACAGGTAAAATATCAAAAACAAAGTTGGATCTCTAAAACAGTTTCAACACAAGCCTAACATTAGAGGATTTATTGCAGGGCTCTTGGATTGGGCTGCATTCGTTTGACTGTTTATCAAATAACAATGTTATATGCGTTTTCTCCCAACAGGGACATCAGCTGACAGAAAACCTACACACCACAGCAGTGAATTAAAACTGGATCAAGGTTGTTCTCACAGAAGAAAAAACAGACAGATGTTTAAAGCCACCATTCATCCTGACAGCATGGTGTATCAGTGATTTAACCCGGTGTGTATCTGCACACTTCCTGATCTCTGCTCATTTCTGGGCAGCAGCAGCAGCAGCTTATGCTGACGTGCTCTATAGGCTAAACACCCCCCCACCACCCACCGACCCACCCCCGTGAGTCAGGCCAGCAGCCTAATATTAATAACAATCACTCTGAATGCTTTCACCTTTATTCTGCTCCAACATTAACCGGCGCCGCCGCGATACAGTGGTTAACAGGCTGCCCGGTGTGGACGTGCTCCGCTCCCACTGCCACGGGAAGGCAATCACCGGCACAGCGGGAGGTCTGTGCACGCCGACCGGCCAGCCCCGCTACCCTGCTGCCCTTGTCTACACTCATCTCCACCAAATCAATGCCTGCCCACTGATACTAGCAGGCCCTTTATCACATTCCTCACAGCATCGGTGAAACCGCAAAACCGAGACCCAGAAAAAGAAGGGAAAGAGCCATTAACAGCGGCGAATCTCACCGCTCCATCTTCGCTTTGTCCTGGAAGAAAACATCCACACGGACCAGAAGACGGACCGTGTGGCCAGAAAAAGCAGTCGAGGAACGGGAAACCTACCTTTCGACTCAGCGCTGTCCCCGAGTAGAAGTAGTAGGCTATCCCCAGCACCCACAGCACCGCAAAACATAACAATATCCTCGATTTCCTCCGCATGGCTGCCTGTTTTTTTCGCCCGCCTGCCTGTGTGTATCGTGGCTCGGCTCGGCTCGGCTCTAGTCTGGCTGTAGCGGCTCGTCCCGGTCGGCTGTGTCCGTGCAGGGCGCTTCGCCGTGCGGCTTCGGCAGGCTTCGTCAGTCGGTCAGGGGGAGCGGAGGGAGCAGGAAGCAGCCAGCCAACATCAGCGAGGTTAGAGGGCAAAGGCTAGCCGACTCTAATCCAATCAAACACCGGCTCACGCAGCCCTGGAGGAGGGCCGGGGCTGGCTGCAAATCGAGCTGTGCAGTGCCGTGCGGTTCCGTGCTAAAGCTGAGTACAGGGGTGGGGACAGCCCTGTAGGAAAGGATTGTTGTAAAATGTTAGTTATGTAGCTCTGAGGGCTGAGAGAGAGGGTCTGTGATCGTCTAGCTCCATGATTTCAGTCTGTGTGGAGCTGCACGTGCTCCGAGCAGACACTGGGGGCGCCAGACACAGTTTGAACTGGGTTAAATGGGAGAAAACAAAAGCGTTTCCCCTTAATTTCTCTGGTTCTTCCTTGGCCTCATAAAGAACCAACCCAGAACATTTAAAGACACTGCGCGAAAGGCTTGGAATATTTTAGTTTCCTTTCCCCTTCCTCCTTCTCCTGTCCTGAATCTCAGTCCCGTGGTCGGGATGTTGCAAAAGAAAGTTATTCTGGTGAACACATCTGGAGCAATAATAGAAATAAGTCTAAGACTTTATCATTCTGTTCCGAACATAGTATAGTGTGTTGTATTTTAGACATATTGGAAATAGTAATTACAGTTGAAGTGATCAGTCGATTAGTCGATTGACAGAAACATCTGCAGCTATTTTGATAATCAAATCCTTCTTTACATCATTTTGAAGTAAAAATGCCAAAAACTCCTTTGCTGCTCAGTCGTGATGGTTTGCAGCTTTTCTTTGTCACATGTGGGAAATAAACCGAACATCGATAGTTGACCGGACAAATGGTCCATTTAGTAGCTGTTCTGGAGCTCTCGATCATATCGCACCATCTCTATCAGCAGATAGAGTCATGATACTCACTTGTCCATGTCTCTCAGCACTTTGAGGACTTCTCATCAATGTTGGCTTTAAAATTTAGACCATAAGTTACTTCTCGGAAACAATAGTTGACAAAACGATCTCACAACCACCATCTTTTGTTTTTACGACTGCAGACAAAACGAGTGATTTGATGACATTGCCCTGTGGTTCAGGGAGAAGGTATGGGTGTTTTTCACTATTTAAATAATTCATCTAGAAAATAATGACATTAAATGTTAGTCAGCAGTTTTAAGTAAAATGTCAAACCACACGTGACAATGACATACTATACTGATTGATGATGTGTCTTAATTATGAGGAAGAGAACACATAATAATCAAAATTATGAAGAAGTTAGGTTGTGGTAACTGAAAATGTGGTTTTATAGTGATAGTCATGACTAAACAAAAAAACATTGCTAATCTGCTTCTAGGACTGTGTGGGTGTAGATCAGTTTGATTGGCATTTGCATGGGAATATGAGCAAATAACCCCACAACGTTCAGATGTTGTTAAATCGTAATTGGTGCACAGAAAAGTGTGATAACACCTTTTTCAGGTCCACAGACCAAAAAAAACAAACAAAAAACAGACAATCTGTCATGAAAAACGAAAACTGTCCTTACTCCTTAAGTAATATGTTTATGTGGGACTTCATTGCTTGTAGTAAGAAGCCGATTGAGAAAAAAAAGTGCTTTCAGACATTAAAAGCAGCAGAAATCTATAACATTCAGTAACTTCCACATAAAAGGAACATTTTGTGTCGCCTAATCTTGTAGTTTATGGATCATCTTTTGAAAACCTTTAAATATTCAGTGAAACGTTTTGGAGCAAGTCAACCTGCCATTGTTAAACCATTTGAAAGCACAGTTCAAATAGATTTTTCTACGGTCTGTAGCACTCAGATCGACTCTCTCTCTCAGCTGAAACACCTCTGACTAAACTAAAAGGTCCAGTTCATGTTCAGCATGCTTCAGTCTGCCTCTGAAATTTTTCATTTTAATGGTGACAAAATGTGATTTTGACTGGAAAGCAAAGTGTCCTGCAGTCCAAGTAAAAAAATTGGTGTCAATACACACTGTGTGCTGTTCCTCAAAGAGTGTTCTAGTAGTATTACACACACACACACACTTATTCATTGCTGCTACCACTACGGTGGTCTGAGGAGACACTCAGTGTGTTTATGTTACCCACAGTAGTGTTAGAGCATGGATGGATGGAAGTCAGAGAGAGAGAGAGGTGGAGGAGTAAGAAGCAGAGAGAAGCAGATGTGCAAATTTAGCTGCACAGAGGTAAAAAAATCTTTTGCCCTTAGCCTTGGATGTCCTGAACAACTGTTATGAGGGTCTCAAATTACCCCTGAAGAGGATCAGTTAGGCTTTCAAGAATTCAACTCGTCTTCCAGAAATAGAGAGCAGAGGCAACAAGTCTGTCTATTGGCTGTGAACTTTTCAGCTGCAGGAGCTGTAAAGAGTTACTTTAAATGAAGCTAACGTGTGTTTCATTATATAAATGCTGTATATTAAAGGTACATAATCAAAGATATCACTGCAATAATCTGAAATAAGTAGTGCCAATTATGGAGGTAATGGTACCAAAAAATGACCAAATCAATAAAGTGCCAACAGTGTCTTTGATTAAAGTCCCCTTTTAATCAACTTTTTCGTAAATTATGGTTAATGTGCGGGTTTACTATCACTGTATAAATATGTAGCGTACACAGAAGTATTCTTAATAGAGCACAGAAAAAACTGGTCACATGGTCTAAAGAAGCTGCGAGGCAGGAGGCCTGAGACTTGAATAATGAGTTCATTCAAGTCTCATAAATCTATGATGAAGTGGGAGTGAAATACAAGCCCAGCCACTTTTTAGATGCAGGTGTTTCAACATTAGCAGAGCAGGGAGGATTGTGTAAAACTGGGCTAACTGAAGAACTGCTGCCCTTCTTTAGGTCTGAACGAGGACCGATGAGTCCAAGTCTGAAACATTTCAGTGCAACTTTCAACTATTTGTCAGTTTCAGAGAGTGTGAATTGTGCATGCATGTTTCTAGCTGTCGTGTCATGTTGGAGACCTTCTTCAGAGACACGTCCCAGCAGTATTATAGCTAGTCTGTCAGTACTTTAATTTCTCTCTGAGGCAACAGAAACAAACTAGAGGCTTCACTGGTGCATTGACGAGTCAGTTACTGTCATCATTAGTTGGCTCTGTGAGCTCTACAGGATAGTTACATTTTTGTCACCAGATTCACGACAAGTCAATCTGTAACACTTTTCCTCATATGCACTTACATTTAGAGATATATTTTTTCCTGCTTTGTAGTATTGAATGAAAAATAGATTGTAGATGTGGATGCTTTTTTCTTTACACTGTATCTTAGCTGCTGTACGGGGGTACAAAGCATTTGTTTTGCAGACAGAGATTTTTATATAATAGACAGCTTTGTAGCACTGCATCATTCTCACTATATTCTCACAAAGAATGTACAATGACTTGTGTGAGCAGTGTTGCTGTGTGTTATGTAAGCAGATGTATCAAAACCTACCACACACATTTTTGTGTACCAGCTCACTGACAAAAGGGCAGCTATTTTGCAAAACCTGGTGACTAGTAATCATTAATCCTACAAACCACCATTTTCTGCAGAAATGATCTGTCAAAGAGCTGAAATGAAGGTCAACTCAAACTAAAAGACTTTCTAAAGACTGCTCAGTCCCACACAGCTTTTCAGAAACAAACAGGAGACAGAAAAGTGAAAACTAAGGGAAGATGTGTTCAAGCCATTTCCTGTCTGAACTGCAAACTAAAGGTAAAAGTAAAAGTTCCCATTTTCTTGAACTTTGCTTTGATACACAGGAGTTAGTCTGATCCAACCCCTACTAACAATAATATGAGAACGTCTATACAGCATTGTATGTGCAGGTGCAGCATCATCATCACAGTCCATTTGATATCTTTTTTTTTTTACTACGATACTGCTTATTAAGTTGAAGAAAAATAAACTTTTCCCAGAATCGTTTAAATGTAAATGAACAGCAGAATAATCTTTAAATATGGACCTTCAGTACATCAGAGCCCCATTATTTATTTAAGCAAGTGCAGGAATAATGTAAATCTCTGTAGTTTTTTAAGAGCTTGACTTGATTCTGACTTTTATGTTTTTGCATCAATGTTTACAGACATTGTCAGTTTAAATGATCAATTTACAGTATGAAAACACTGAGCTGTCACTTACTGCCAGTCCTTGTATCAACAGCTCAGTTACTCTATTCAAAGTAAAATAAAAACAACTGTCAGTTCAGTTTATCTAAACATAAAGCAACCTGCTATTGAGGCGACTGTGTTTCTGCCAGGGGCATCACACCGTGACAGATTTACAGTAGGTTTTGTATACCTTCATTGGTAAATAGGAGAGCTCCCCACTCATTAGATAAAGTCTCTGTTTTCAGCAGCTGTACTTCACCCAGAGGCATGAGTATGTACAGTAAATCAAAAAAAGTTACTGAGTTGGGCAGGGTGAGAGCAGCAGACATTTACTGGTCCTGTACTGTACTCAAATAAAAAGGTAAATGCACAAAAAAATTACATGCATACATGGAAACAATACTGTGCACAAAATGACACAATAAACATGCTTGAGACAGCACTGTATTTCAATTTATCTATGTTACATAATTAAGTTTTGGTAAAAAAAAACAAAACAATCCAGAAAAGATTTAGTACAGTTCATATAGAAATCTATTTTCTATTCAGTAAGATGCTAATCATATCTCACTGAAACCAGTTCCTTTAAATTATAATATAAACACAACATTTTACACATCATTGTGTAGCAGCAAGAGGAAACACTTCAGTGACCAGTTCTGTTATTGACAGCTACGGTTGCTCCTGTCACATTTAAGGTACAGTGTGTAACCAAAGTAATCCACATGTAGATGCTTCTCTTATCAATATGCAGACAACAAATATTAACCAGTTAAATCAGGCAGTGCAATGTTGTTCTTAATTCCTCTGTGTCTGTGTTTCAAACCTCTAGAAATCTACTGTGAGCGTTTTCAGTGACTACTGTGTTTACACTGTTTATAGC